CAGACCGGTTGACGGGTGTGGCTGCCTTTCACCATGGTTGCTGGCGTCACGCTATGAGCCTAGATACCTGGCCCAAGCACATAAAGTGATTCGCTGAGGTGTGTGTCAGGAATGGTGGCCCATGAACTTTGTCGTTTCGCCACTCCTGAGGCCCAGAATTTAGACATGCTTAAATGAAGCCACTTGTGTGTAGCTGCACGAGTTGAGCAAGAATAAGAAATGTGATGCTATTGGTTCATTATGCGAAATTCCGTCGTTTGTGTTGTCTCTCTCTTCGTCAGGGTCAGCAGGGGTTGTGTTGCTGCCATATTTGCAATTACGGCACTCACAAGTCTCAGGAGCGGCCCAGTTCAACTTGGTAACTATGGTTTATGTGTTGCACTCACTCGAGAGGTCACGCAGGAAATGGTTAAGGCAGGAAGCAGGGTGGGACAACGGCAGATGAAACCTGTCTGCATTTATATGGTGTCACCATCACTGTGGTGTCCTAGAACATTCGCATTGGAGGAGCTTGCAGGCACTAAGATGGCCATTTCAGGAACAGATTGGTGAGAACGTGGTGGCAGCCAGCACAGTGCAGAACCTTTTGGATCAATATGATTTTCTTGTGTGTCAGATAACCTCTAAAATGGTGTTGAAAAGTGACTTGTGCCACTTTGCACACATTAAATGTGACATTGTGCCAGGTCACAGTTGCACACCCTTATAGTTCCCCCAGCTACTCTAGAGGCTGAGGGAAGGAGAATTGCTTGAGACCAGGCAGTTTGTTGAAACCAGTTCTGGGGGAACATAGCAAGACCCCTTGTCCTCTCAAACTAAACTAATAAGAATTAAACTGACATTTAAACTTTTTGTATAAATCATAATAGTTACAGGGATGTAATCTCCATGCAGTTTGAAATATGAGCACTTTTAAAACGAAAACTGGGCCAGCAATAGTGGCTGTCACCACCTGCAATCCTAGCAGTTTTGGGAGGCTGAGGTGGGAGGAGGCTGTAAGCCCAGAAGTTCAACACCAGCCTAGGCGGGGCCATAGTCAGGCCTTGTCTGTATGAAAAATAAAAATTAGCTGTATTGTGGTGACACGGCATCTGTGGTCCCAGCTATCAGAGGAGGCTGAGGCAGGGAGTATTGCTGAAGCCCAGGAAGTTGAAGCAGCGAGCTGAAGCCATGATCAGGCCACTGCATTTCCACCCTGGGCAAGAAAGCAGATGGCTATTCTCAAATAAATGGAATAAAAACCACAACTATGTAGCTTTTTAACTCTGTAGAATTTAGAATCCAAGATTTCAGGGTTATGTTTTCTTTATGCTTAATTTTTAAAATTCTTTAGTCTGGGCTGGCACGGTGTGCTCACACCTTGTTAATCCCAGCAACTTTGGGAGGCCAAGGGCCGGCGATTCATGAGGTCAGGGAGATTCCAAACTATCCTCGTAACAGGGTGAACCCGTCTCGTGTACTAAAAAATACAAAAAATGTTAGGCTGGGCATGGTCGCGGGGCCTGTAGTCCCAGACTACTTCAGAAGGCTGAGCAACGAGAATGGCGATGAACCCGGGAGGCGGGAGCTTGCAGGTGGAGCGTGACGTTCGCAGGCGCCTGCCACCACATCTGGCTAATTTTTGTATTTTTAGTAGAGATGGGGTTTCCCTATATTGGCCAGGCTGCTCTCAAACTCCTGACCTCAGGTGATCTGCCTGCCTCAGCCTCCCAAAGTGCTGGGATTACAGGCGTGAGCCTCCAAGCAGGGCCTAATAAAGCCTTTTCACCTAACTTCCAGTGTAGAGTCCAGGGGTCAGGAAAACAAGTTAATTGACACCGTGAATAAACAATCAGGCAAATGTAGGATGTGGGACATTCTACAAGAAAACTGGCCTGTACTTCAAAGTCAATGTTGTGGGGAAAAGAGGTGGAAGAGCTTTATTAAGAGTCTAAAGCAACATAATAACCAAACGCAATGCATGTACTTAATTAGATCCTGCATAAAAAAAGTAAATCCAAAAAACTATGAGACATTTTTGAAACAATTGGAAAAACAGGAATATGGACTGGATATTAGGTGATACTGGAGTATTGTTAGTTTTCCTAGGGATAAATGTGGTATTGTGGTGATGTTAGAGAGTGTCCTTATTTTTAGGAGCTGAAACGTTTAGGGGTAATGGGTCATGATATCTATCACTTTTAAATGATCCATAAAAAAGCATAAGCCTCACACACCCACAGAGGGGGTGTCTGCCATATTTGCCATGAAGCAAATATGGCAAAATAGAAACAGCTGTTGAATCCTAGGTAGTGGGCGAATGCTAGCAATCGTTCCATTATTCTGTATGTTGAAAACATTCATAATAAAAAGTTAGGGTAGAAACGTTCTGCTGTGCAGTTGTGCTGTGCGACCTTGGGCAGTTTCCTTGCCTCTCAGGTCTTCATTTCCTCACCTATGAAACGGGGTTAAAAATACCAACCCCGGTGGGACAGTGGCTCACGCCTGTAATCTGAGCATTTTGGGAGGCCAAGGCGGGTGGAGGGCTTGAGCCCAGGGGTTCAAGACCAGCCCGGGTGACATACCGAGAACCCATCTCTACAAAAAATTTAAAAATTAGCCTGGCAGAGTGGTGCATGCCTGGAGTCCCAGCTACTTGGGAGGCTGAGGTGGGAGGATCGCTTGAGCTCGGAAAGTTGAGGCTGCAGTGAACTATGATGCAGCCACCAGCCTGGGCAACAGAGCGAGACCCTGTCTCAAAACAAAAAAACCAAAAAACTAAAAAACAAACAAACAAACAAACAAAAACCCAGCCTCACATCATCCAGGTGCCCAGAGGCTGTGGGTGCTGCAGCCGTAATTATTATTATGACCACCTTCGGCAGGGCGTCTGGTACACAGTGAGTGCTGAGCTCCCCGGGCCGCGGTTTTTCCACCCTAATGGTGGACAGGTAGGAACAGCCTTTTGGAAGTCGCGCTAACCTTGGCCAGGGACCTTGTGAGCGGGAGAGCGCGCAGCGGAAACGGGGCGGGGCACCTGAGGCTGGGAATGCAGAGGAGCCTTCCGGGGAACGGGGCGGGGCCTTCCGTGCAGACCAATGGTGTAGATGCAGATGTCAAAACGCGCGCTCAAGTGGCTCCCGCCAGGAATCCCGGGGCTTAGGGAGGCGGAGGGAGGATCGCTTGAGGCCAGGAGTTTGAGATCAGCCTGGGCAAACAAGCGAGACCCTTGTCTGTTCACTTAAATAAAACCAAAAAAACGAGCACCGAGGGAAAAAGGAGTAAATCCCGGCGCTAGCAGCAGCCCGGCGCCTGCGGCGGCGGCGGCGGGCGCCCTCCCGGGAGTGGCCGTTTTGCCCGACCCCCCCAGAACCTTCCGCATTGCCGCGTGGCCGTGGGCGCCGCCACCTCCGCAGCGGGGCAAAGATGCCGGACCTGGAGGGAGGAGGGCCACGCCGAGATGACTCAGGTTCAGCGCGGGAGGGGAGGATGGCGACTTCACCTGGCCTCTAACACGTACGCATCTTTCCGCGCCTTCTACAATGGCTATGTTAATTACGTGGCCAGGAACTAAACTGTAAGTGAAGCCACCTCTGGCTATTTCAGTTACAGTGAGTTTAACAGGAGCAAAAAAGCACGTGGCGCCGTAGGGCAACCAAAACCAGGGCTTTAGACGTTGATTATGGGAAATTGAAATCTGAATTGAGTATTACACCAAGAAATTATAATTTTGTTAGATAATAGCTTTATCAGCCATAAAGTAATCAATAAAAATACCAATTTCCTGGAGATGGATGCTTTAGTGTGTTTGGGGGTGAAACTGGCAATGAATGGCAAGTTGCTTTAAACAAATCATGCTACACCAAAGTTTTGGTTGTGGCTTTGTGTAAGGAATGTGATGGTCACTTATCCCTGCAACACGAGAATACTTTGAATACAAGTCCGTAGTACTTTTAAGAAATGAGAGAAACAGACCTAGATGGGGAGGGTATCTGTCCAACCCCATCCTCTATAAAGTATCTAGAAAAGGCTTTGTAAAAAGTCCCGAGTCTCTCAATAACAGCCCTGAGTGCAGCTGTTGAAGCTTTCTCAGGTTAATGATTTCTTCTTGGATCTTAAAGTTTCTTTCTCTTCCTTTATTTTTGGCATTTTGCCGTTGCAGGGCCTGGCAAATCAGAAAGCCACATAGACAATTAAATGAAAGCTGTTGCTAAGTTGCAGTCTCTACCTCAGTGGAGTTTTCAAACTCCTCTTCAGCATATTTGATGCCCAATGAGTAGTACATTAAATCCTAGTTCTAAAATCATTCTGTGAACTTTCTCCCAGGAATTTTTGCTCAGTTTGCAATTAAAACAAGTTTTTTTTTTTTCTTTTTTTAATGGGGGCGGGGTCTCACTATGTTGCCAAGGCTGGTCTCCAGCTCTTGGCCTCAAACAATCCTCCTGCCTCGGCCTCCCAAAGTGTTGGGACTACAGGCGTGAGCCACCGCGCCCAGCCACAGTTTGCAATTCTTAAAGCAAGGGTGACAATAGGGGACAGGGGTCTGACAGGAGACAGGATTTCTGTGGAAAATTGCACCAAGGGCCTTCTCTCCGTGTCCTGGAGTTTGAAGGTTTACGAAGGACTGCACATTTTACATGAGTCATCTCAACGAATGCTCTCCTCACCACATTAACACCCCACGCGGTGACGAGTCCCATTTTACTCAGGGGGACGCCGAATCTGTAAGAAGCCTGGTCGCATGTCCCAGTCACAGCAAAACGAGCCGCGGGGCTCAGCAGCCCTAACTTTTAGGCTGTAGGGTCCTCGCCGACCACCCCGCCCAAATGTCAGGGCTCGGGGCCCTTGCACCCCCACCCCAGGGACACAGATCGAAAGGGTCGCAGCAACGCCTCCCCCGACCCAGGAGCGTCTTCCAGGCCTTTGCACCAACCTCGTTGGCAAAGTCCCCTGCCCTGCGGCGGCGCGGCTGGGAGGAGGCGCTTTCGGGAAGCGCGCCCGCGGGCTCCAATCGCTGCGCCTCACGTAATCCCAAACGGTTCCCAGGCGAACCGGGGCCCGCGCGCGCCAACGCCGCCGAGACCCTCAGGGACTGCGGTCCTGGTCTCGTGGGACCTGTGGAGGCCCGGGCGGCGGCGCCCCCGACCCAGCCAGCGGACGGAGCGGGGGGGAACCGGGAGGTCCCGGGGGGCGTCCACGGGGGTGTCCCCGGTGGTCCCCGGAAGGCGCCGGCGGAGGCTCCCGCGCTGCGCTTGAAAATCGCGCGCTGTCCCGCGGCCAGCCTGGGTGGGGTCAAGGTGCAGCCAATGGAAGGGTCGGGGGCACGGCACAGCCAATGGGAAGGGCCGGGGCGCCAAAGCGAATGGGAAGGGCCGGCACGGGAGATTTAAAGGCTGCTGGACCGAGGGGTCGCCCGTGCTTCGCGTCCCAGCCCTCCTGTTCTGGCCTGTGGCTGTACTTCGCTGCGCCGCCACTATGCTCTCCGTCCGCATCCCGCTCGCGCCCATCACGAACCCGCAGCAGCTGCAGCTCTCGCCGCTGAAGGGGCTAAGCCTGGTCGACAAGGAGAACACGGTGAGCGCGCGGGGAGGGTGCTGCGGGCCGGGGAGGGAGGCAGGGAAGCGAAGCCGCCCCGCACTCACACACGTCTCCCTGCAGCCGCCAGCCCTGAGCGGGGCCCGCGTCCTGGCCAGCAAGACCGCGAGGAGGATCTTCCAGGAGCCCGCGGAGCCGGTGAGTGACGGGCGTGGGGCAGAGGGGCCGGGGGCGGCCTTGGGCGTCTTGGCGCCAAAACCGCATTGTCTCCTCAGCTGTTCACACTCCCGCGCCGGTTCCTTTCCCGCCTAGGCGGCCCCTCCCCAGGGCGACCTCCCGTGCCCCTCGGCCCATTTCCCGGTTTGGGCGTGCGCTCCTCTGCTGCGACCCACGGAGTGCGACGGGACAGCCACGTTTTCACATCGGGTCCCATGAAATTGCCGCCCATGGAACGGACTTGGTGAGAAAAACATTAGTTTCATATGGTTCGCCCCGTACTTGAATGTGTTATTTTCTTCCCCAACAGAAAACTAAAGCAGCTGCCCCCGGCGTGGAGGATGAACCGCTGCTGAGAGAAAACCCCCGCCGCTTTGTCATCTTCCCCATCGAGTACCACGATATCTGGCAGATGTATAAGAAGGCGGAGGCTTCCTTCTGGACCGCCGAGGAGGTAATCGGAGGACCCCAAAAGACCCCTGCAGGGGGGACCGTGACGCCTCAGACATAAATGCCCTTGGAGGTTCCCGTTGGCAAGGGGGGCTAACTGTGGGGCATAGTTAGTTAGTGGTGCCAGCACACTTAAAGTTTCAGAGTGCTCAGTGTGAGTCCTGCAAGCTTCGCTGTCTTCCTTTCATGCTAAAATTGTGACTCCGAACCTCAGGTGGACCTGTCCAAGGACATTCAGCACTGGGAATCCCTGAAGCCCGAGGAGAGATATTTTATATCCCATGTTCTGGCTTTCTTTGCAGCAAGCGATGGCATAGTAAATGAAAACCTGGTGAGTTTCTCAAATATCTTTCGTTCATTTGACATTGACGATCTGAGGTCGAACTAGTTCGCTGTCCTCGTCTTGTACGTTTTTCCATTTTTCCATGCTGAGTGTCTCTGTGTCTGTAAGCTGGGTTTTATATTACATGGCATTTCCTGTTTTCTAACACTTTGCAGTTCTTTCTTATGGCATTTTCCTGACTCTAGAGAAGCTGAGACAATATTAAGTGGTAGCAATAGGAGGACTCCTTGTGGCCACCATATCTGCTCCCTCTTTTTTTTTTTTTTTTTTTTGAGACAGTCTCACTCTGGCCCAGGCTGGAGTGCAGTGGTGCGATCTTGGCTCGCTGCAACCTCTGCCTCCTGGGTTCAAGCAATTCTCCTCCCTCAGCCTCATGAGTAGCTGGGATTACAGACCTGCGCCACCTGCTGGCTAATTTCTGTATTTTTAGTAGAGACAGGGTTTCACCATGTTGGCCAGGCTGGTCTCGAACTGATGACCTCAGGTGGTCTGCCCACCTTGGCCTCCCAAAGTGCTGGGATTACAGGCGTGAGCCACCACGCCCGGCTCTGCTCCCTCCTTTTTGGGGCTTTGCTGTTTTAATCATAATTTGGTTGTATCTCTTATTGGGAATGGATCTTTCTTGATAAATCAGGAAGTCATTGAGTGCTCACAGAAATCTTATTTTATATGTATCTATTTCCTGATCTGTAAGTTGAGTATATGATATAAAATATCACAGAACTGTGACGGATTGGATGAAATATATATAGAAATAAACCTTATAATGGTACAAAGAGTGCGATGCTACCAGTGTCTGTTGAGCGCTGCTGCTGTTAGTTTTTTCTCAAGCTTAACTTTGATGTGTTTTGCCACTAGGTGGAGCGATTTAGCCAAGAAGTTCAGATTACAGAAGCCCGCTGTTTCTATGGCTTCCAAATTGCCATGGAAAACATACATTCTGAAATGTATAGTCTTCTTATTGACACTTACATAAAAGATCCCAAAGAAAGGTGAGTATTCAAGTGGTATGCCAAGATTTTTAGGACTCATTAATTGTTGATTTATTAAAAATTTTTACTTCATGTAGGGATAAAAATGACTCCAGAATGACTAAGCAGTCAGTCATAGACATTCCCAGCACCCGTGGTCATGTCTGCTCTTAGCAAGGGGCCTAAATTCACTTTATTATTCACTTAGAGTTGTGAAGGTACTCCGCTTTTAGAGTTGGATGTCTACCAATCTAAAGCCTTCTTTTGAAAAAATTCCTAGATGTTGGGTAAGACAAACTAAAACCTATGTCTGACCATCTTTGCTTGTTTGGTAAATATGTTGAAAGGCTAGAATGTGGGGCTGCGGTGGGATGAAGGACAGGGCAGACTTGTCTCCTAAGGAAGCTGCAGTACGGTACAGGCAAATAAGACTTAGCAGGAGTTACACAAGGCAGTGGCAGCAGTGAACCCTGAGACTGATTTAGGCATGCAGCAGTTTGGCTGAATAAAGGTAGCTTAAGGTCTGTTTTGTTTTGGAGATTGGAGGTGGGAGATTAGAAATGGGCTGTTGGAGTAGTCTAGATACAAAGGTCAGCTTTAGGGACTGGAACCCTATGTGGAGTGGAAGTGGTGAAGCTGCAACCTAAAGTAGCTATTGTAGACTTTGAAGTACATGAAGAGGAAAAGTGGTAACTTGAAAGGACTGAGGAAACTGATTGTGGGTGAAGAGATTTGAACATGTTTATAGGTGGAAATTGAGAAAAGAGGACAAAGATTAGGGATACGATTGGGGCAAATGACCAAAAGGGGAATGGTTGGGATCAAGATGGTCTGCTGGGGAAGCCTCAAAAGCAAGGGAGAGGCAGACCCAGGTCTCAAACAGGACAGTGAGATGGAAAGAATGAAAGGCAGCTGGGTGTGGTAGTGTGAGCTGGTAGGCCCAGCTACTTGGCAGGTTGAGACAGAAGGATGGCTTGAGCCCAGGAGTTTGGTTTTACCATGAGCTGTGATCATCTTGCTGCACTCTAGCCTGGGCGACAGAGTGAGACCCTCATCTCTTTAAAAAAAAAAAAATAATGAAAGCTGCCCAATGTCTGTTGACCTTGGCTTCAGATTCAGAACACAAGGTCATCTGGGTAGGAACAGGCTGGGAAATCAGTAGCCTCTCACGGTGGGCACCAGAATAAAGGGAGTTAGAGGAGGGTGGTAAGGGAGACCCAGTTAACTGTAGTAACCATGGGTTTGCTTTCCCAACCTGGGATCGACTGTGTAGCACAGAGTTCTAGTAGGAAGCATTCTTAGTTTATTGGTTTAATTATTTTATGATATAGATGGTGGCAACTGGGGCCAAATAATGCCCCCAATGATAGTCTGATAATAGCATAGAGGTTAGGATTTTATGGTTCTTCAAATTCAAATTCTATGATTCTTCAAATTGAACAATGATCTGGACTTGAAATAATTTTAAAGTCAACAAATATCCCTGCTGTACTGGACTATGTTTTACAGTTTGTAGACCCTGAAGCTCAATATGAACTACAGAATACCCAAACTTGTATTAATGTAAATCAAATGTTGAGATTTTTAAAAACACTGGAGGGAAGAACTGACCAGTAAAAATATAACATTTCGGTGTGAGTTCTTCCTTTAGGAAGAGGATTGGCAAATACTTGAATTTGGCCTTTGTCCCAGAGCTCTTATCTAGCAGTTGGTAATCAGGGGTCTTTACTGTAATGCTTCAATTGCTGATGCTGTATGTGCCTACTAGGGAATTTCTCTTCAATGCCATTGAAACGATGCCTTGTGTCAAGAAGAAGGCAGATTGGGCCTTGCGCTGGATTGGGGACAAAGAGGCTACCTATGGTAAGGAGACCTTTGCCGCTACTTAAACCTGAGCTTCATTTTCCAAGTAATGATATTGGATTGTTGGCCCTTGAATACCAACTCACGAGAATCATTTTGGTGTTAACTCTTAAATAGGTGAACGTGTCGTAGCCTTTGCTGCAGTGGAAGGCATCTTCTTTTCCGGTTCTTTTGCATCGATATTCTGGCTCAAGAAACGAGGACTGATGCCTGGCCTCACATTTTCCAATGAACTTATCAGCAGAGATGAGGTGAGTCTAAATCAAATAATAGGGTGACCTAAGCCCCAAACACAACTCGGGCATGCTCTTGTGTTCACTGATGGGAACCTGGGGTACTAGACGGCATATATCCACATTTAATGTGTGAGTTCAACCATACACATACTTGACAAAAGAAGGAAATACTTTAATTTACTGAAACTATTTTACTTACATTCTCAATATATTGTAATACATTAGTACATATATATTACCCCATAGGCTTTGAATGCATAAAACTACAAGTTCTTTGTTTTTTGAGGGGATGGAATCTTGCTCTGTCGCTCCAGGCTGGAGTGCAATGGCGTGATCTCGGCTCACTGCAACCTCTGCCTCCCAGGTTCAAGTGATTATCCCGCCTCAGCCTCCCATGTAGCTGGGATTGTAGGCGCCCGCCACCACACCCGGCTAGTTTTCGTAGTTTTGTAGAGACGGAGTTTCACCATGTTTGCCAGGCTCGGGTTGAACTGACCTCAGATGATCCGCCCGCCTCGGCCTCCCAGAGCGCTGGGGTTACAGGCATGAGCCACCATGCCCAGCCAAAACTACAAGTTATTGATGGGATTGGGATTTTAAGGGATGTTTTATTATTTTTGCCTGGTATTATATGTAATCCCCTTTTCCATAAAAATGTTCATAGTAAAGCCAGGCGTGGTGGCTTATGCCTGTAATCCCAGCACTTTGGGCGGCTGAGGCGGGTGGATCACGAGGTCAGGAGATGGAGATCATCCTGGCTAACCCTGTCTCTACTAAAAATACAAAAAATTAGCCGGGTGTGGTGGCATGTGCCTGTAGTCTCAGCTACTTGGGAGGCTAAGGTAGGAGAATTGCCTGAACCTGGGAGACAGAGGTTGCAGTGAGCCGAGATTGCACCACTGCACTCCAGCCTGGGTGACAGAACGAGACTGTGTCCCCCCAAAAAAATGTTCATAGTAGCCATTATGTTTTTTTTGTTTGATCTAGAAATTGCCCTTCAACTTCAATGTTAATAAGCATCTTGGTGAAATGAGTATACATTTTGGTTTAGTGTATGTCTTTGATTAAGTCATATTTGAAAAGCCAGGAGCATGAACTCCATCTTACTTGGAGCCCAGTAGGCAAATCAAACTTGGTTACCTTGTAGGAGGACCTTCCTTATTGGATTAGGAGGTAAGCTGTGAAGCTTGGTGTTTAATGCACTCACTTGCAAACTTGATTTGCTTGAAATTGCATACAAATGTCCTGAGCATCTAAAAACTAGCCTTATTACTGAGTTTTACCTTTCCTGCTGAAGTAGTGGCAAAATTAGCACTCATGGCTGGAGAAAGAACACTTTGAGTGAAGCTGTGACTCCTCCTTTGCCACCACACAGCAGAGCAAGAAATAGACCTTGCCTGTCTTCATCTAGGTGGCAGCTTTGAGGCCCTTGAATGGGACTGAGCTTGCCTTGGTGACATGAGCAGAGAAGTCCGTAGTTGAAGTCATCTTCCCTTTGAGAGTTCAAGTGCTCTCAGTATGGCTGAGCATGTTGGATAAGGAGAATGCAGAAAAGGATAAAGTAATTTCATATTCCATGTTAGTGACAGAAGTCTTCTGGCTTTAGTGATCTTGAACTTTTTTTTCTAGGGTTTACACTGTGATTTTGCTTGCCTGATGTTCAAACACCTGGTACACAAACCATCAGAGGAGAGAGTAAGAGAAATAATTATCAATGCTGTTTCCAACTAAGAGGGGCGTCCAGCACATCTTCAAGAATGTAACACAGACAAAATAATACCACTCGTTGTTTGTACTCTATAGCCCACAAGGATAAGTAAATATGCTTGAATGCCTATTTATGGTATTCTACACCAACACATACAAAAGGCCAGGGTCTGACCACATATTCGGCGCATCCGTGCTCGCCTACTTCAAGTTCACAAGTGTGACCTAAGTAAGTAAACTGTTGTAGAATTAAGCATTTTACAGAGAATTGTTCCTAAGTTTTATCGTTTAATGGATTGAATACTTCACACTACCACCACTCTTAGAACATCAGCCTCTCCCGTGTAAGAGCCTGCTACGCGTGATAATAGTCCTGTTGGGCCCGAGGGCCGGGATACGAAGAGCAAAGGGGTGTTTTGTAGTGCCTCTGTGTGTGCATTGAGGTGAAGTGTCCTCGGCGACTTCTCCTGCGCCATCTGACGTAGTCGTTGTGGGGTTAAAAGAGGAATCTCTCAGGACACAGAGGAGCGTCTTTCAAGTAAAGCATTAGAAACATTAGGCCACTGATCTCTGGGCCGCTTCATATGTGGTCGAGAACCATTCATCTAATTTCGTGCACTGTACTGCTTCCTCCACTTTCCTTAGTTGAATAAAACCAATTCTTCGCGAAGATTTTACATATGTGGGATCTAAGGTAGTACTCGCGGGGGCTAAAAATTCCAAAGTCATCCCCTCCTAAACAAAGGGCACCGCACCTAAGATCTTGGCCCCTGTTAAGATGGTGTTGAAATCGAACTAGAAAAGGGTGGTTCCTAACCAAGGTTGTGGTTTATTCCTAGTTTTTTGTTTGTAAGTAGGGATTGTGTGAGTTAATTTCATTTATATTACTATGTCTTTTTTTTTTTTTTGAGAGACGTCTCGCTCTTGTTGCCCAGGCCTATGAGCTGCAGTAGTGCGGCGATTCGCGCACTGCAACTCCGCCTCCTGGGGTTCAAGCAATTCTCCTGTCTCAGCCTCCTGAAGTGTTAGCGAACTGCAAGGTATGTGCCACCACTACCTGGCTAATTTTTGTAATTTAGTTTAGAAGATGGAGTTCAACCTATATTGGTCAGGCTTGTCCTTGAAACTCACTGAACCTCAGGTGATCCCCCCCACCTGGGCCTCCCCCAAAGCCCTGGGAATACATGGCATGATAACAAATTATCCTTTAATAATGTGGCTACCTTTGAATTAATTTTGCCTTTATTTTGGGAGAAAGAAAAGCTGAGACACTGCCAAAGCAAAGATGAAAGGAAGAGATAATGTTGATCTTTTTGGCCCCATTTGTTCATTGATTTCGCAATTTGAAACATTGTCCTGTTCTATTGGTAGCTTTTTCTTCTTCAAATTTTATTGTAGCACATTTTTAAATCCTCTGTAAATATGATACATTTTCCCTATCTAAGTTAATTTGTTACCCTAAAGTTAATCCCAGATTACAATGGCCTTATATTGTACAACATTAAAATGAAGGCTTTGCTTTGGGCCTTGGGGAGGTTTCCAGGGCGGAAGTTGGAATCAGGTTTAAGGTTTCTGTGCTCATTAGCCCTGAATAATGTGAGGATTAACGCTCTGCCACGTAGACCATTTCCCTAATCAGTTCAAACGCGGAAACAAGTATTTCAATCTCAAAATTGAAAATAACCTGCACGTAAGCCTGATTAAAATAAAACGGTCTCCCTAACCGGCTCAAGCGGTGTCCCCCTCGACCTGCGTAAAATTTGCCATTTGTAATTCAGGAAGAAGAAAAATTTTTTGCCAGCGCATGGCTCGTAAGCACCCCGCCACTTTGGGGAGACCGAGGCACGGGGGCAGTCACCCTGCAAGGTCAGGAAAGTTGTTTCCGCCGATCTCCAGCCTGCCAAACGTGGTGGAAAACCCCATCCTACTAAAATACAAAAAAATTAAGCCGGGCATGGGGTGGTACGTTGCCTGTAATCCCAGCTAATTGGGAGGCTGAGGCAGGGAGAATCGCCCTTGAAACCCGCCGGAGACAGAGGTTGCAGTGACTG